TCATTGTGTTAGAGAGAGTAAATGTCAGGAATAAATTTGACATTAAACATAATCCAAGTTGAAGTGTTTCATCATTTTCAGCCCTTTTTGGCATCTGCATTTAGTAGCAGCCAAACTCACAAAGACCATTCAGAATAATGTAGTGTTTTAATTCCACAGCTGAGAAAGCTCTGTGGTCTCTGTAAGTAGGTCTAGAAAGGGAAAAAATATTGGTATTGGTTATCGGCCAAATAAGTTGTAACATATTGGCATATCGGATATCGGTCAAAATTCCAATATCGTGCATCTCTAGTGTGAAGCCTTATTTGTATTATGGTGCAATGAAGTGTACATTTCAGAAGCGCCAATATTTCTGAGCTGGGCCATATGAAAAGATAAAAACTATCAAAATGTTAATGCAAAGAAGGTGCTGCACATAATTTTTGTCTTCAACATGAATGCAAATTGGAAGTTGCAAAATTCAGGCTGTTTATTTTTGTTAACTTATGGAAATGTACTCAAATATTTTGCATAATCTGACATTTAATTTAGGTGTAAACATTAATTTTAGATTCAGCTTGCAGCGTTTAACAAGCGAAATTTAGAGAGAAAATTAACTTTTAACGTTTTTCTGAGCTTTAGTTACTTTTCTAAAACTCTGCCTGGTTGGATATTTTTGTACTTCTTACATTGCAACACTTTCTGTCCCTATTTCACAATCGCAGCATCATTTTCCAAAACAGCCACCAGATGACAAAGACTTCACTGTCGTCGTGATGCTGGTGGGGAGCAGAGCGAACACGCTGACCCAGATCAGCCGATTCCAAAAGAACAGAAGACAGAAAATCGTCAAAGACTACTTTATCAAAGGAATAAACAATAATAAGTATGTATAAAACGTGTAAAACTTGAATTATAAACAGTAATAAAATATACTTTTTTGATCTACTATTTGTTAAAAAGTCCGGGTTTGTTTCCACAAGCAGGTATTTTCTCGCAGCTCGTTTATTCCCCGTCAGCTGATCCTCTCTCCGTGTTTGTCGTATCTGTGATTTCCATTAAAACCAGGACAAATGATAAATCACGTCACCGCAAACGTACAAGACATTAAAGCCACGTGGGCACGGCGGGGTTCTTCTCCTCGTTCAACACCTGTGTACGAGCACCAAACCAAACGTGCCCTCACACCCAACGTGTCTTCATTAAAGCAGATCTGAACCATTAATCTCACTGATGGAGGTTCGTTCGCCTCGTCGTCAGCTGAAGGTTATGGAGCTGCTTGTTTAACCGGCCGCTAAAAGTCAAGATGGCTGCTAACAGCAGGCCTCATTAAGCCGCAAACAGACCCATCAGTCAGGTGGCAGAAACACAAGAGTGAGTTGTGTCTTTATTTCTGGGCTTGATTTTATTCCTCCATTTGCGGATGTTTCTGTGCTCAAGTTTCCACTTTGGGAAGGAGGTTGCATCATGTCCCTGCTTTTACTTTTCCAGTTTCTTTTCTGTTTGCTTTGTTATCACCGTAAAGAGTTTTTCTGATTCACAAATCCAGAAAAATGATTCAGTCCCTCGTTTTATTCTGGATTCCTTGTCATTTCTGGTGGCATGGCAGGATGAGAGTACATGTGGTGATGGTCCATCTTGTAATAAAAACAGCAGGTGCACAAGAGGACTTCAAATAATCCTAAAGATTTAAAGACCCCCTAAAATAAACAATTATAAAGTTTATTTTAATATATATTTATTTATCTCACACTAAACAAAGTGTCCCCTTTTAAAGGATTCGTCTGCTTCTGACTGGTCCATTCTTTTTATTCCTTCTTTGCTCACTCCTTGTGTTTTTTGAACATCTTATCCATTTGATGATCAATGGAAAAAATAAAAAAATCAGCCACACACGCGTGCTGTAGCCATTTTTCATTTATAAGAAAGTCACTCTTGTGCCACATCCTGAACAAAACCCAGAATGTTCACCCTCGTCTTCCCTCCACTTTGCTTCCAACCCCTGCTCCCATTGTCCCAGTGTGCTGTGACGTGCTATTTGCACACGAACTGGTCCACGAGTGACGTGCAGCGCTTGCACTTGACGTAGCAGCACCAGTGGAACTTGCAGTGGCAGCGCTCGTGCTTGTAGGTCTTAAATTGGTCGTACCCTCGGCCGCAGCACATCAGCTCGCAGCCGTCCACGCCCTCAGACGTTTTGTTGCAGAGCCGCCCCTGCGTGCCCAGCGAGCCCGTAGTCTCATTTCGGGGGCAGTAGTCCGGACTCGGGTCGATGTAAACCATGTCCTCGGGTGTTGGGTTGTTGAAGCGCTTGTCTACGAGCTCCAGCTTTCCCTTCAGAAGACAATGAGAGACAATTGAGCGACATTTAAAGTGCATTTTAGAAGATTTCCTCCAAGCGTCAATGGAGTATACCTTGCGTCCAATCCTCATAGCTGCAGCACTGTCGTATTTTTCTTTAAGGAACTCTCCGACCCGCCTGAAGTCGGCCAGCTGCAGCCAGCAAGTTTTCAGGCTGCAGGAGCCGGAGACTCCGTGACACTTACAGGACACATCAGCAAGTTTGTAGACTGCCTGGAGGAGAGACGGAGACGTGCAGAGGTTTAAAAATGCTGTTTGTTAGAAACTTTTTGTTAGAAGAATCTCTTAATCAAATATTTTTTCAAATAATAATAACAATAACAATGATAATAATAATAAAACCTCGCTATCATTTTAAAAGATGTTTGACAATTTGAATTTAAGGTTCATTGAATCATTTGCTGCTATGATGCTCCCATCTAGTGGTGAACACTTGCAATAAGTCCATCCATCCATCCATTATCTTTTACCCGCTTCTTCATTTTCAGATCGTGGGGGGTCACTGGTTCCCACATCCAGCCATAACTGAGCGAGGGGCGGGTTACACCCTGGACAGGTCTCCAGTCCATCACAGGGACACAGAGACAAACAAGCATTGAGCATGGACTTTGTTCATTCACTCTCTCATTCACAATTTAGAGTTACCAGTAAGTCTAACATGCACGTATTTGGTCTGTGGGAGGAAACCAGTGTACCCAGAGAAAAATCACGCATGCACGGAGAGAACATGCAAACTCCACCCAGAAAGGCCCAGCAGCTCTACCAACTGCTCCACCATGCTGCAGACTTGTCTGTTCAATAATACATTCTTTTAGGAGTAATATATACTAAAATTCACTTTTTATAAACGGCAACTGTTCAGAGTTAGAACAGAATATGCACTTTATTAGGGAAACTATTTTTCAGTGAGTAAACACTTGACATTCTCATGATAAAAGAAAAAGAAAGAAAATTATCTCCATACAAATATAATAGACAATAAGATAAAATCACTTAAGACAAATCACTCAACCAACAGACTAGATCAAACACTTCCCTGTAGAACTCAACGTCAGTGCATGGTACGAGTATTTAATGGGGACTGGGGGTTGGTGTTGAACCATTACAGGGAAATAGTGCAGAAATAGATTTTATATCACTTTTGAGTAGAAAAAAACTAAACAAAAAGAAAAATAAAGGGTTGTTTTTTTTCCCCATTTATTGTTCTTCCTTTTTAGACAAACTGCTCCAAAGTAAAAACAAAAACTGACTCGGAATAAAAAAAAAACAGCTTCTGCAAACCAGAATAATCTGCTGTAAATAGATTGACGCATCTTGTAGGGAAAAACTCTGACTTCTGAGGTGCTGTCACAAAATCTTTCTTACACGAATTGATGCTGCATTCACAAACTAACATGTTAAGATATAAAATAGGAAAACAAATCAGACAAACTCTTTCTCTGTACCTGAGATCATGTAAGACGGTCACCTGCCACATTTCAGGTTTAAACTAAGTTCATTTAGAGAAGTGGAGTTGTAGCAATTTTCATCAAACTTTGAAAATAACATTATGTGCAATTTCAAACTATATTGTAAAAAGTCACACTCAGTTATGTTAGACACATCATTTGAGCATCAAACTTTCACTGCATGAAGTTCAAACCTAACAATTTTGTAGGATTATCAAATTAAAACTAAGACGAGGAAGCTTCAAACCCCCAAAAATGAAATCTTACATCATTTTGCTTTCAGGGCTACAAACACCCAAACAGAAGCTCCAAGGCAACATCTCCTCCAAGTGATGGACAAACACTTTTTGAATCATAATTCTCTTCTTAGGCTGACATTCTTTTAGAGTTACTTTGCATAATAAACTTTCACAAATATAGAAGATTATAAAGTATTTGGAACATATGGTTTTGTTTAAAAAAAAAAAGAACAGGAAATAGACGATTTATGATCTCTGCTGCAGTAAACCCTGCCGCTTTACCAGGTCACTTAAACAACATTTAATAAACAAGTCTCGTAAAAAACGCACATAAATCACGTTCTGTCACTAATCAAGCATGCTGGTTCATTTCCACTCACATTAGTTCCTCTAAAAACATCTTCACACATCTTGGTGAATCAATTAGCTGCGATTCCTAAACTGCCCACACATTAACGAAGTCCATCCTGTCTGCTCACGCTGCCTGATCCCAATTACCTTCTCACCTTTCTTAACCTTTACCCCTGACCCCCATCTCCCACCCTCTGCTCCCTCATCTCTACTTTACTACCAGCAGGCATAGCAGTCGGCACCCTCCAATCCTGTCATCCGACCCCAGTGACCCCCTCAGACTGAAACAGGGAACAGGGGACAATGACATTTTGTGGAAGAGTAAAAAAAACAAAAAACTGACTAGCACTTTGTGCATTCACACATTTATTACTAACAGGTAGTAAACCTCTTATGCACAAGTCAAATAAAACATTTTTATTGCCTGCCACTGATTAAAGCAACAGGGCAGTAACATTTTTGACCGTTTGTGTGTCTTGTTAGAAAATAGTGTGAACTGGCAGATCAATTTTAATGAAACTCTCAGAAAGCAACCACTGGATGCACATCTACAACTGATTACCAACACAGCTAAGCAACCTGAGCTTTCATTAAAACATAATCAAAATCAAACTCTGCATGTATGCGCCCAGCCTCATACTGAGCTATTTGGGCGGATAAGCCTGCTGAGCACAATGATGCTCATAAGATGATACCGTACGAGCACACACACATGCCCAGTCATCCATGGTGGAGAGACGAAGTCTCTGTGTGAAGCACAATAGGTTTTACTCTGAGTTAAAGATCTGGCGCTGGGAGTGTTGACGCGTGTGCGCTCATTTGTGTGCAGAGACTGCTAAAATCCAAATAAGACAGAAATATAAAACAGATTCTCCCATTTGTGACAAAATCAACAATATTCAAACAATGAGGGGAAAGGTTTGAAATTCAGTTCATGTCCCAGACTGACTCTTTTGGTCAAACCTAGAAAATAATGTTTTTGGTAATCTCATCCAATATTGTGAAATGTTACTCAGAGAATGTTTTGGATGACTCATCTAAAACCACATTAAATTTTAGTTCAACATCTGTAAAACCGACTGAGTTATAGTCATTTTTGTGTTGGCTAATAATGTTGACGAGCTGTGTCAGCCATCTTGAATTGTGTTTAATACAACAGTGAATTAGGTGTAAATGTGTATCTTGTGATTACTTTTTACAACTTTCATTAAATATTTGATTCACAAAAGAATTTAACAGACAAAACTTAAGGATAAGGAGCAATGTGAAGGATTTAATGACATCTAGTGGGGAAAATAAAATTGCAACCAACCAACTTCTCAACCTCTCATTATTTTTGGGGGGATCTTAAAGAAATATATTAAAAATATCTGGAAATCACATGTGAAGGCATTTATTGAGTTAAATTAATTTGTAACAACCATTCACCCCATTTATACAAAAATACAATAGTTCCAGTCAGAGAAGGAGGAGATACTACAGGTCTTTGGTCATTTTGATCTGCCTGTACCATAAGCTGTTCCTAAACTTAACCAAGTAGCTGTGGTGCCTGGAATAAAAGAAAAACTGCTTGTTAAGACATTTTAGCAGCCAAATATGTTAAAACAAGCAGTAACTTTCAACTCGCCTCTGTAAAAACACCCTTCAAATGAATGGTTGATGTTTTTTCTGACTAAAATGTGAATTTGTTTAAGTGAAAACAGGCTGATGTACCACAATGCTAATTCTAACTCCTTAAGTGATGATACACAAATAACACAAGTATGGATATGCAACTAACTCACTTTCAACAGATACAGTAAATTGGCCACTAGGAAGCATAAGCCAGTGCATCTCGTGTGTCATCTGGATTGAAAAAAAGACGATAAGGAAATCTGGTGGTGGAATAGTGAATTGCAGGACGTTATCCAGAGGAAAAGGTTAGCCAAGAAGAAATATGACAGTGAGAGGACTGAAGAGAAGAGACATGAATATAAGGCGATGCAACATAGAGCAAAGAAGGAGGTCACTATGGCAAAGCAGAAGGTGTATATTGAGTTGTTTGTAAGGCTGGACACTAAAGAGGGTGAGAAGAACTTATACTGATCGACGAGACAGAGGGATGAGGCTGGAAAGGATGTGCAGCAGGTTAGGCTTGTTAAAGATAGGAATGGTAATGTTCCAACAAGTGAGGAGGGCGTGACGAGAAGATGGAAGGAGTACTTTGAGGAACAAAGTCCCTTCTTCGACTAACAGATAAGGTCAGGCAGAAATCCCCACGGACTTTGATGTTTGCAAATGATTGTGATCTGTGGTGAGAACAGGGAACAGGTGGAAGGGAACTTGGAGGTGGAGGTATGCACTTGAAAAAAGAGGAATGAAAGTCAGCCGTAGTACGTGTGTGAATGAGAGGGAGGAGGTGGAACAGTGAGGCTACAAGGAGCAGAGGTCACAAAGGTACAGGACTTCAAGTAATTGGCCTCAACTTTCCAGGAAAATGGAAAATATGGTAGAGGTGAAAAAGAGAGTCCAGGTAGGATGGAGCAGATGGAGAAAAGTTTCTGGAGTGATTTGTGATAAAAGTGCAGCTGCAAAGGTCAAAGGAAAAGTTTAGAAGACAGTGGTGACACAAGCTGTGTTGTATGGTCTGGAGACATTGACAAAAAAAAACAGGAGAAAGAACTGGAAGTGGCAGAAATGAAGATGTTGAGGTTCTCTTTAGGAGTGATAAGGATGGATAAGATTAGGAATGAGATCATCAGAGGTACAGCACAGGTTGAACAACAGGGAGATAAAGTTAGAGAGGCCAGACTGAGATGGTTTGGACATGTCCAGAGGAGGGACAGTGGGTATATTCATAGAAGAGTGTTAAGAGATGCACCTGCCAGGAAAAAGACAAGGAAGGCCAAGGAGGATATATGTGAATGCAGTTAAAGAGGAAAATGCAGTAGTTGGAGTGAAGGCAGAGGATGCAGAGGACAGAGTGAAATGGAGAAGGATGACTCGCTGTGGCAACGCCTGAAGAGGAAAAAGCCGCAAGAAGAAGACAGAAGATTTTCAATAGAAACAGTAACCCATAATCATATCTTGTCACAAGACTTTGAGCCCATAAATACTCAAGTCTTCTTGTAAAGACTCACAAAAATATAAAACCCTAAAACATCCCATCAAATGTGTCCAATATGTTTGCATTAGTATGAAACATGCAACATCTGGTTTAAATAGAAACACATTAGGATCTGCAGTGAAGATATTTCACCTGAAGTAATTTTCAGCTGCAGTTTTAGTTCAAAGACAGGACAGCTCAGGAAAAGTATATCTACAGTTGTGTTTGAAGTAGTAGCAGCCCAACTATACTAACCAGATCAGTTACTGTTTTTGGTAAAAAAAATAACATTACCACATGGCAAATAATTTATTAGTAGGTGTGGTAGAGTCATAAAAACAACAGAAGCAACATTCCTTATAAGCATTATATGTTTCTGAGTCTGTGTAATTTAATAATTGATTGAAAAAAGTGTGATCCAAATAATGGCAGTGTGGAGTTCAATTACTGAGGTCATTCTTTCTGTGAAGAAACAGGTGTCAATCAGGAGCCCTAATTTAAGGATGAATCCAGCACATGTTGTGCATTCATTTCAAAAGTAAAACCAGAGAAGTGTGGGGAAAAAACAAGACTACCGTTCGAATGGATCAAAGAACAGCCAGAATGGCAAAGACTCAGCCAGTGATCAGCTCCAGGGTGAACTAAGTAGGTCTGAAGTTAACGGTGAATACTGTGACAATTGGAAGACACTTGTGTGACGCTAATCTATAGAAAACAAGCTCCACACAAAGTCCCACTGTTAAAAAAAAGACATGTTGAAGAGGATAAAATTTGCCAAAGAACACATCAACTGGCCTAAAAAGAAATGAAGAAACATTCTGTGGACTGAAGAAAGTAAGATTGCTCTTTTTTGGGTCCAAGGGCCACAGACAGTTTGCCAGACAACCCCCAAACACTGAATTTAATCCACTGTACACTCTAGAGATAGTGAAGCATGGTGGTTCAAGCATCATGTTAGGGGATGATTCTCTTACTATGGTGTTGGGTCTATTTATCGCATACAAGTGATCATGGATCAGTTTACATATATCAAAAATACTTGAAGAAATCATGTTGCCTTATGCCGAAGTGGAAACACCCTTGAAATGAGCGTTTCAACAAGACAATGACCCCAAACACACCAGTAAGTGAGCAGCATCTTGGTTCCAGACCAACAAAATCAAAGTTATGGAGTGGCCAGCAAAATCCCTGGACCTTAACCTGATTGGAAACTTGTGAGGTGACATAAAAAATGCTGTTTCTGAGGCCAAATCAAGAAGAATTGTGGAATGTTGTCAAACAATCCTGGGCTGCAATGCCTGTTCACAGCTGCCAGAAGTTGGCTGACACCATGCAACACAGATGTGAAGCAGTTCTCAGAAACAGTGGTTATACAACTAAATATTAGTTTAGTGGTTCACAGGAATGATCAGTTCTACAGATTTTTCAGTTTACACAGTAAATATGAGTTTGTAACGCAAAATGCAGACAATGCTACGTTTTTTTAAAAGACGAGTGTTATTTATTTGATCTGTAAAGTGATTTAAAAGAATTGTACTTTTTTCTTCAAGGTTTGATTTAAAATATAAAGTGCAATGTTCCCCCATGCATGGAAATAAAAACCATTCTAAGGATTTTGAGCTTTACTCACATTTGTAAAAGCTATTTTTTCAAGCACAACTGTCCAGGAGTGTGTGTCCAGATGTTTGGCTGTTTATTGGTGCTTGGTTGATTTAACCATGTTGACTTCATGTAGGTCTTTTGAGAATCAGGTGAGTGTGAAGAAAGTCCACCCCTAAACCTGTGTCTGTCTCCAGACGACTGTACACTGTTCACACTGTTCACACTGATGACATGAAGCTGCACACACACCTATCACTGCTACAAAAGCCCTGCAGTCTGCCTTGTTCAGCCAAGCAAGACAAATCCCACTTAGGACAAACCAGCGTGTCCTTGGAAGAAGGACGGAAAAGGGGGGAGGAAAGAAATTGTCTTCCTCTCCACCTTTTCATCTCCCTCTGCTCCTCTCTTCCGTTTGAATGGACAGATGACAATGAAAGCAAAGGATCAAACAGGAGACAGGAGGAAAAGTCATTCACAATGTGTGTGAATGTGTGTGTGTGCACGCGCGTGAGAATACAAAGCTGCAGCAGTATATCTTTTTCCCCTCATGCAATCACCTACAGCCCCAATGGGACCCTCAGGAGAAACACAACCTCTCCAGACCCTCACCTTTGACCTCTGACACACACAAAACTGGGCTCACTGTCTCACACAAATCAAATACACACACACACACGAATGTCTCCTTGTTGTAAACAACTTAAACAAAGCAGGTCTGTCTGAAGATAACGAGAATCCAGGTCCAGTTCGTACCCCATCTTTCAGTCTTTATTTACCTTAAATCTTCAAATTTGTTGAAGAGAGTTTGACAAACACACCAAAAAGGTTTGAGAAATTATGTCAAAGTCATCCTTTGTTAATTGTGTGAATGCTGAGTCAGCATCACACTATCATGATCCTGTTTCTCTTTTCTTCTGGTTCTTTTAAAACATACACACACTATGTAACCATTTAACCATACACCTGTCAAAACATTCAGAACATTCCAGCGTCGACTTTTATGCAAGTTTTATAATTCTCAAAATATGTAACTTTATTTGCAAAACTCTCCCCATAAAAACTTTGGGATCTTCAATTTCTGCAGAAACACTCAGTTTGAAATTCACATCAACTTTCTCTTTCTTGCCTTCTTAGGCTATGTTTTAGCTTTTCCTTAACTTTTAGCTATTTTTAGCTGTTAGCTAGAATTTTGCAACTTTTACTTAGCTATTTGCTCTTTTTCCCTAAATATTTTAATGGTTTGGCTAGATTTAGCTACTTTTACATTTAAATAGCAATTAGATTGTTTTAGCTAGCTTTTTGCTCCTTTTAGTTAGCTTTTGCTACTTTAAAACTTTAGCTATGTTTTTTTCCTTTTAGCATTTGCTTTTCTTCTTTTACCTAATTTTTTCCCTAGTGTTTGTGTCTATGGTGTTGCAGGACTTTTGTCCATCTGTAGGTGTGCATTTATGCGTTTAACGCATGTGTTTGTGTGTTACAGCACTGGAATGTGCCTTGACCTGCCGACCCAGCCTAGACTCCAAGGGCGTTAGCAGTTACACCATTTGTAGGCTCCCAATAAATAACCTACACACACACTCACAGAAATACTGCTGAAGAAGGCCACCTCAACCTTCACACACATTCCAGACAGACACACAGATATAGTATGCATTAAAAGAGGAAAAGCACATTCCCTTCAGCTACGTTCCCACAGGTTCACTTCAGATGAGTAAAGATGTTTTGGTTCGTCTTACCTGCCTCCCTGCTTCATTATTGTGCAGGTTCATCAGCGTCCGGGCGTGCTCCTGCGACCCTCGCAGGTAATTCTTCTCCCTTTCCCGGGCGTCGACAAACTCACGGGCAAATCTGTAGCCGTAATGCACATTGTCGCCGCAGCCACCCCACAGCCAATCACGTGGCAGTTCTCGGGGCCGGACGGCACGGCTACATCCGCAGGTGGAGAGCTCGCCCTCACGGCACGCCCGGCTGATGGCGTTGACCACGCCAGCTGCACTGATGGCATAGGTGAAGGCTGCTTCCCTCGAGCCTGATGGAGAGGGAAAAAACAGGGAACGTTTAGAGTAATATATATAAATAATGTACGCACTTAGTGATGGGAAACGTTGTGAACTGCAGCTTCCGACACAAACAGCAACTAATAATCTTACACACTTTTAAAATTCCCATCAACTTAAAGAAAGAAATTCCAAACATGAACATCATAACATCCGAAATAATAAATCAGAACAGAAATGTCTGGATGACGCAGCAGGTCAAATAAATAAATGTTTTTGTGTAATTTGGTGCAATGACCCTTTAACAGATCACATTAAAATATAGTCTGCCACCATTTCAACCTGTGCAAGACATTTATAATTTGTTCCAAGTGAAACTGCATTGTTTCAATGTTTAGGTGAATAAATGCACTAAACATATTAAAAGTACAAATGCTAAATGTAGATAACCCATGAATTGATTTTACTACTGTAGCTCATTACAGTGGTTATTTATTATATTTTAAGACATTTATAAGGATATAATACTTATACTTATTATACTTTGTGCCATTGTCCCACAAAGTTGATTTATTTATAGAATCTGACCAAATGCAGCAAGGCTGACAAAAAAGAACAAAACGTAGCTCTTAGGTTAAGATGTTTCAATATAAATGATTTTAACAACATTTTAACTCAAGAAAATACATAATACTATGCATTCAGAGAAAGAATGAAGGGAACCTGACAGGTTTTGTCATTTGTAACTAAAATAAAAACAGCATTATGATGTTTTTCTGCTGAGGCTGCAAAAAGAGAGCCTTGTTGCACCAAGTATTTCAAATAAGCAAATCCTTGATATCATACAAAAATACAGGTTTCAACTCTGTTTTCCATTATTATTTATAATTATATGACATATAATTAATGAGTTTAATGAACAAATAGGACACAAGTGACAGGGATCAGTTTTGTTAAACCTATGGATAATAAGATTGCACTTTCATTTAAATAATTATTATCACCAGTAACAAACAGGTGAAAGCAATTTGCATTTTGCAAAATATCTAATGAATCACCAAATTTTTTTTAAATAAATTTGAAAAAGATAATCACTGAATGTAGATCTAGAATTTAATATTTTTGGTGTAAACAAGATTCAAGATGGCTACCACAATAAAAATCACAAAAGTGCTTATAACTCTACATCGATAACGCCCTAAAACTTGGTGTGGTAGTAGCTGAGACTGATCCCCCAACATATAATCTGAGCATTAACACATTGCACAAAACCTTTGTGTAAAATTTAGTCATTAACTATTTAGGGTTGACTCAGTTAGCAAAATACCCCATGGACCATTTGACAGAATTTGACAAGACTTTCTGGAAAGAATAACAGGATGAACATCTACAACTAATCACTTTATGGGGCATATTTAAATCAAGATGGCCGCCACACTCAGTGAATTTCACAAATATGGTGGTAGTTTAGTCATTCATAACAAATACTCTAATCTCAACTAGTACAGTCGGCGGGCGATATGCATTCCTTCAATGCTAAGTTTTGAATTATCCATCCATCTACAAGTGAAATAAATTATATTTTCATCAACCAAGGTGTTCTTAAAGCGCTCTTTTCATATGAAGTGTGTTTTTATAGCACGCAGACAGACGGGCACGTTTAGAGAACAGTTCCCCCCGCAGTCAGTTTTATGGGGCTTCGGAGACTCGACATCAAATAGCAGGTCCGGATCTGACGGTTCCATGTCAGCTCATCAGCGCATTTCAAAAGCAGGGCCGCGGGACAATGGAGCATTAACACCTCCTTATAAACAAACCTGGGGACAGCCCCGACTGTCAACAGAGAGGGACAGAAACCCCCAGCAGCTAACATGTCTGACGGCCCCAGCAACGGATTTGACACCTACGTGTTGATGAGACTTCCCACGTCACCTGCTGGGAATTAAACGGGCTTAAAACCGACCCAGGTTCGGAACTTTGTGGAGAAAAACATCTAAATACTATAATTATTACTTAATACGTTACTTTCACAGCCGCGCTATCAGCGCCTTAACGCTTTAAACCTGTCTGCGCTGCTAGCCGAGCTAAGCTAGTTTATTGATTTACTGCGCATGCGCAAAGCAGGAACGTCAATCGGGAAAAAGCTTGATTATATACGAATTATTTAAAAAGTTACGAGTATAGAAAACATTAATGTCATCTATTTACTTTTAAATAAAAAACATGTCTAGTGTGTGAAATAATGGAAAAGGAGAATGATAAAATATTACCTGTAAAAATTATTTATTATAGTCGTTTGTTGGTTAATGTGTATTATTAGCTGTGGCAGCAGGCTGAAGTTAATTGGTTGTAGATGTGCATCCAGTAATTACTCTATAATCTGTTGAAAGGTTTGTGTAAACCAAAGCAATTATTCTAAGATTTCCATTAAAATAAATTTGTCCAATGGTTCATAAAATATTTTTCTAACAACAGGCAAACAACCACACAGACACACACCAAAACATAAATTGTCCTTTTGCCTTTCGTAGCGAGCAATTTAAAACACAAAACCCTTAATTTCCTTCAGTAGAAACACGATGAACTCCATTATTGATTATACTAAAAGTGCAACTATATTGAATGGTTAAACTATACTGTACACAAAAGAACATTCAGCTTCACTGTTTTAAGACATGCTTCTTTCCAGCTTCTTTCACTGCACTGATAAACTAAAGAACAAAAAAATAATCAAACAAGGAATGTGTGTGAAATATGGAGCTGTGTGATAAAAACATGATGGATGCTGCATCAATTTAAAAGATCACATCTGTGTTATTCCATCTATTGGGTTTCAGTCACACAAAACAGTATAATTATAATAACCACTATATTAGTAATATATTTAGCACTAATATTATATTATTAGATAACCACTATAATTTCATGACATGACGCTTTCATTTGAAAGTGTTTGATTTTTTTAGAACTGCAGCAAAAAAGAACAGCACATCTTTTGGTGACATATTTTTCTTTAAATTAAACACAAACCAATAATGGATAGCTTTAATAAATAAAAACACAAGGAAGACGTGGGCAAAGATAATGGATGGATGTTTTTGAAAGCAGCACGGTGGCGCAACTGGTAGAGCTGCTGCCTCTCAGCAAGCAGGTCCCTGGTTCAAATCCCGGTCTGGGGGCCTTTCTGGGTGGAGTTTGCATGTTCTCTCCGTGCATGCGTGGATTTTCTCCGGGTGCTCCGGTTTCCTCCCACAGACCAAAAACATGCATGTTAGGCTGATTGGTAACTCTAAATTGTCCCTAGGTGTGAGTGAGAGTGAATGGTTGTCTCGTTTGTCTCTATGTGTCCCTGTGATGGACTTGCGACCTGTCCAGGGTGTACCCCGCCCCTCGCACAGTGATTGCTGGACATGGGCACTGGCAACCCCCATGACCCAAAATGGAAGAAGCGGGTAAAAGATAATGGATGGATGTTTTTTAAACTCACCGATGTGCATGACCCGTCCAAACACGGATGTGTTATCCACCGTGCTGCAGTTCCACCTCCTCTGTCTGAACTGGTACTGGCACTCCTTGATGCCCGTTTTGGCTCCATCTCCGATGTAGGTCATGTGATCCTGGTACAGCTGGCACAGCTTCCTCTGACTCTGCAGGCCACACAGCAGCAGAGGAGAGGAGAGATTATAGCACAGATTAGCTGGTTAACAGTTTATTATGCAGGTGGTCCCAGCAGGGAGAGTCCCACTGACCAGTTCAAACAGTTGGAAGAGCAGAGAGGAACATCACTCTGCCAATATTACCTGTGAAAGGCCAGTCAGCTGACTGCAAAGAGGCTGAGCTCCTATAATGTACATTTCAGGCCGCTGGATCGGGGTCAGACCCAAAGACCTGGAACATAGAGGACACGTTAAGGCACGATTTAAAGTGATGAAAGCGTCAATGCTCACTTAATAGAGACAATGAACCGAGCCCAGACCTAGTGTCTGTGATGCATGTGGTCAGCCCAGCAGAGGACAAAGCTCAGACCCACGTTTTATTGGGACAAGTGGCCAATAAAACTCAGATAAACAGACTCCTGTGGAGAAACCTCCACAGCAGTGCTTTTTATGTTTCCTTCCCAACACTCTCAACTTTCTTCATAATTAAAAGCCTAGCATTCCTCGAAACAATGAATAACACCCACTGCCTTTCATGCCAGTTCCAGATTAAGATAAATAATTTCCTGCAGGATCAATAAAGTTCTATCTGATCTTACCCCGAGAAATATTAGCGCTGCCATTTTCAGTCCAACCTTAAAAATAATCTTGTGCAATTTCAGTAGAAGTCATGCTCAGTGTATGTGTTGTGAATGACTCTCAGCTACTACCACAATGTGTACACATGACTGAAATATAAACAGTTTTGTGTTTAATAAGGACAGTTAGCTGTGGCAGCCATCTTGAATTAGGACGGCTCCAAAAGTTAATCATTGTAGAGGTACATCCAGTGATTATTTCCTCAATATTTCATTCAGACCTATCCAGTGATTTATTAAATATATTTTTAAAAAGTTAGTTTACTCCAAATGTTTAATGACAACATTTAAAGCTATAAGGTTTGCACATCATTTAGAGCTCAGAGTATGATTTGGGAATCAGTCTCAGCTACTACCACACCAAATATTAGCTCAATTTGTGTCAAATTAACAGAGTTAAAGCCATTTTGTGTTTTTTAAGGTTGGTTAGCTGTGGCAGCCATCTTGAATCAGATGAGTCCAACATGTTATGAGTATCAGTCATACACAGGCACATACAGATTAGGGCAAAAACTTTATCACCCGCCTTTGCCTTTAGATGGACGTACCATCCTAATTTAGATTTTTGGATTATCATTTTGCAGATCATATCTTCTCCTTTGAGGCAGTTTTAGTTTCTAAGGTCCCACTTATCCACACAAGTGGGACCCTGAAGCCTCAGCAGCATCCCATGTGATGCCATTTGGAGCTCAGGCCAGAGTAAATATTGTGACATTTGTTCCATTCACCCCCAGAGCTCCACTACGCAACTGAAACATCATGATGCTAAGCTATCACCCGCCGAATACACAGATGCAACAACGTGAAGCTCATCTTCACATCACAGGGGGGAAAAAAAACCCAATTGGATATTTACGCGCAAAATCAGCTCTAAACTATTGCAGCAAGGTTCAACAACTTGTTTTTCTCAGTTGATCTCTTGGAAACCATCAAAAGTGAGTTAAGAATCAAAGATCAGAGATCAAGTTGACACTCACCACCAGGAGTTTGCGTCCACCACCAGAAGCTGGGAGCTGCAGAGCAGGTAAAGTACCGCCAGCAGCACATGTTGGACAGCACCAGTCCGTCTCCTGAGGACAGGCCTGTTGTCCATGACTGTCACCGCCAAGCAGCCAGCGTGAGGGGAGACGCTCCTGTGTTGAGACATGAGCAGAAATCATTCAGCGCTTCTCGGAGCGTTTTCTGAACGCAAAGTCCAACAAACTTCGCTCTCCTTTCGCTTTGGTTCAAGGCTCTGCGTAAAACCATCAACAAGTTAATCCCAACTGTCACTGTCCTTCGAAAGGTGCATAAAGGTCAATTAGTCCGCTTTACTTGTTTAAATTCCAGCCAAAAGATTCGTGCGTAAAATGGATCAAATGAGCGCGGTTTTACGCAAAGAGCCACTGCTCTCCGGTTTGAATGAAAAACAAAAAAACGGTGAAATATAAAATCCACTGGGGTTTAAAAATAATAACAGAGTAAAATTAATTCCCTAATCAAGCAGCAGAGCAGCTGTTTCTTTCCCCTCCTGTCCCTCCGTAGCTAACTGATCATCTTTCCCATTCAGGGTCTTAAATTTACACTCCTCCTCTTCTTCACACCCCCACTTCAGATCGGACCCCCCATGCCCCCACACCCCCTTTTCCACCCAAGCGGTTCAAATCAACATTGCTGAACCAAACTGCAAGCACCTGCTGATGATCAACCAAAACCAAACAAGTTAAACACATTTCAATTCAATTCACTTTATTTATATAGCGTCAAGTCACAACAGAAGTCATCTCAGGACACAGAAACATTCACACACATACAAAAACCAACTAGTCAAAGTTCTCCATCTAAGGAATGAATATTAAGAAGTTAGTATGTTGGGCTTGTAAAACAGACAAAACGCATACAGGTATTTTTGATGAGAACTTAGAGAACTTTACTAATTGGCTTTTATGTATGTGAATGTTCCTGTAAAGTGCCCTGCGACAGCTTTGTTGTGATTTGGCGCTATATAAATAAACTGAATTGAATTGGATCAACTGAAAAGCTCACAACCAAGATTAAATGTCTAAAATCATGTTCATACATATGAATAGTTTACATTTGAAATTATTTCTAACTTAACGTGATTCTTGACCTGCCATTGTGTATCTATTCCTCTCAAACCCAGTCGGTCGAAGCAGATGACCACTTGTCCTGAGTCTGGTTCTGCTAAAGGTTTCTTCCTCATGAGGGAGTTTTTCCTTTCCACTGTCGCCTTCATGCTTGCTCAAGAATCCACGACAAAGTTAGACTCAAAGCAGTCTGCTCCTCAGATAAATAAAGTTATTAACTCATTAATATATATATGAATGTTTCTGTACAATGCCCTGAGATGACTTCTGTTGTGACTTGGTGATATATATAAATAAACTGAATTGAATTACTGTTTGAGTTTCAGACTAAGATCGATATCGCAAAATGTCATCCACAGATTACATGTTAGGGAAGACACTCAGCTACTACCACATCACATCTTAGCTCAATGCCTGTAAAACTGAGTTGTGACTGTTTTTGTGTTACTCATGCGGATTATCTATGGCTGCCATCTTGAAGTGGATTGACACCAAACGTTAGCCAGTTATATACGTATACTTAGTGAATTCTTCCTGGAAGTTTCAATAAAATCCATCCAGTGGTTCAAGAGATATTCTGCTAACAGACAAATGAACACACTCAAAAAGCAGTCATCATTTGTTTTTTTACTCTCAGGCACTGGGCAAATATCTATCTATCATGTGATGGGGTGGAACATTCTAAAAAACATCATTCAGCCTTAAAAAAAGGGTTCACATGGGTCAAATTCCTTTTATTTGCTGAAGTGAATGATTTGTTTGAATAAAAGGTGAGCGCCTCAAAAATCGTCTAATCCATCCCTCTTTGGAGTGGGAAAATAAAAGGCAACACGCACACATTTAGGCACGGTTATACCCCTGCAGACGGTCTGGAGTCCTGAGGGTCCTCTGGAAAAGAAAAGGCGTGTTGGAGCGAGCTCTCCTCAATTCATGAGCAGGTCTATGAGACAAACTGCACTGGGGCCGGTGGGCGGTGAACCTCTTTGATCTGACTCACTGCCTCACTAAAGACTGGATCCACGTCCAGAGGTCGCTAACATGGGGCCCCTACAATCCAGAGAAGCTGATCGAAGTATTCATGAAGCACCAGTGTTGTATAAAGTACCTCAAAGTGATACTTCAGTGAAAGTACAAGTATCTTACCATAAAATTACTTTGGTAAAAGTTAAAGTCTCCTTTAAATATTTTTACTTGAGTAAAAGTCTTAAAGTATCTGCCATTTAATGTACTTAAGTATCAAAAGTAAATTTCATATAAAATGTACTTAGAGTAAAAGTATAAGTAAATGGTTAGAATTTCCAAAACAATATTTATTGGGTGGAATATCCAATGACAAAAACTTGTAAAGTTTGAACTGAACAATGAAAGATTGCTCTTTAAAAAGTCTGATTTAAAAAAAAAAAAAATCATTCAACTTTTATTAACCTTTATTAACCTTTATCAACAAGTTGTGTTGGTTTGTTATAGGTTCTGTTTGGTTATGGCTCGTTTCTTTCTGAATATAATAGTTCCTATGCTCTTGAACGTGCCGTGGCTGTTCCAACGCTAATGAACGCACCGCTCTGTGTAAAGTGCAGCGCTCAGTTGGAGGTTCTTTTTTTCTCTCCCGACACGGATGGAGCTTTGTTGTTCAAGCTTGTTTGTGCTTTACTGGTTTACTACTGTGCGTAAATACCAGAATAATCTCTAAACTGGATATCTGTCTCTGTCTTCTTTAATGGGAAGACTAGTGGCCTGACAACTTCATACGTTTCTGCCTTAAAGCATTAATGTCCTGGAGAACACCAAACCTCTCCTTTTTAGCAGCTACTATCATTTTCACACCTATCAGGAATTTACAGTGGCTCCACTGTGAGTCAACAAAGACCCATTGTAACGATTGATGTCTGCATATGCATCTAGCTTGTTCACAGCGCGAACCACAGTTTTCACACAAGCGGCAGGGGAGGGGCTGGGTTTGTGAGTGAGAGTGTTGGTGAGGGAGAGAAGGGGCCGCATGAAGGCTCAAACAAACAGCCACTGCCCAATCAGATTTCTTCTAATTTTATATTGCAGGAACAAGTAACTAAGATGGTTAAGGGAAATGCATCAGAGTAAAAGTACACATTTTATTGAGGAAATGTAGTGGAGTACAAGTGAAAGTCACTAGAAATGTAAATAAAGTAAAAATGTCAAAATTCTATTTAAGTACAGTAACAAAGTATTTCTACTTCAATACATTACCACACTGTGAAGCACCAAGCGGAAGGAGTTCATATGGACTGTGTTTGCTTTATATGACAAAAGAAAGTTAAAAAAGGACAATTTTTATAAATTCTTATTTTACTTCACAACTTAAAAAAACACACAAGTACATTTTGGCCAAGAGATAAACACAAACCCATAAATGAATTTACATTAATTTTATAAACCCATATTTTATTCACAAGAGAACATGGTAAATATAGCAAATGTTTAAAAAGTTTACACATTTAAGGAAAAAATAAGGTGGTTTTGAATTTAGGGCAGTAACACCTGTGCAGGGTTTAGCACTGAGAAGCTAACCCTTTTGAAACACCAGTCTGCAGACGTCTTAGAACTGAGCTGCTGGAGTTCTGAAGAGGAATGTTGTTCCATTCTTGCCTGATGTGGGACTCTAGCCTCCAGATTATTATCAGCACTGTGCAAAAGCCTGCCTCTCTGATTGTATTGGGGTGCATTAGCACCTTTCACAATGAGTGAAAGGCTGCTTATACATCTAGAAAACACCATCAGTACAGAAAAGTATATACCATAGTTTTTGGACTATAAGGAGCAATATCAATGAACAGGTCTGTTTTCATACACAAGGCACATTAAATAAAACAAAACGGTCAGATAAGTCAAACTTTATTCTACTCATTCACAATAACCACATAAAATCAGTTTGAGGTCATATATACACTGTCGATTTTTGAGAAAATTTAAGGATTTTAAGTGCACCTTATAGTCCGAAAATTACGGTACTGATTTTAGCACATGTGCTCCCATCTAGACAATGTATTTTTTTAAGAAGGCCTTGCATATTTCAGCAAGACAATCCTAAACCACATACTGCATCCATTACAACAGCGTGGCTCCATAGTAGAATTGTCCAGTTCCTGAAATGACCTGCCTGTAGTCCAGACCAAACAAAGACAAACCAGGACTGTTGAACAGCGTTCCCTCTCCTCTTGAGCATGGTGGAACTTTTATGTATTTTTACTCAAAATGGTGCAATAAGTGTTTAAACTATGTTCTATTGTGTTGTCCTAATGAGAACCAAACCCTCAGCTCTCATTAACATTTCAGAGGAACCTCTAAATGTTTTATTTAGATATGTTGCAATGACATCAATATCAAAAGCCACACAATAATTTCAAGATTTTTTTTTTATGCCGTCATCATTTTAGCCTATAACTTCCTGGAGAACAACACAGTCATTGCTCATCTTATTAAAGCTTGTCCTCATCACTCTGAAACTCGTATAAAAAAAAAATAGACTGTATTTCTGGACTATTGAGTGCACCTGAATATAAGCCGCACCCGCTAAATTAAAAAAAGAGAATTAAAATTTTACATAAACAGGCCGCACTTGTCTATAAGCCGCAGGTGTTCACGTTGTAACACGAGATATTTACACAGAAAGGTTTTTTTTTTAAACTTTTAATTAAATATGTACCAGTAACATGAACAAATACAGTAAGTTTTTTTTTTTCTTTTTCTGAACAGTGCTTGTAATATGGCTGATAAAAAAAAAAAT